CAAACCCAGAGCCTCTCATGTGCTAGGTTAGCGTTCTACTGCTGAGCCACAACCCCATCCTCTCTTTTCATTTTTTAATAGGTACCAGAGATGGAAATGAGGGGTACTTAACAACTGAACCACATCCCAGCCTTAGCTCTTTTTATTTTTTATTATTTGAGACAGAATCTTGCTAAGTTGCTAGAGCATCACTAAGCTGTTGAGGCTGACTTTGAATTTGCAATCCTCCTGCCTCAGCCTCCTGAACTGCTGTGATTACAGGTGTAAGCCACTGCGCCTGATTTACATTTTTATTTTAATACATACTGCCATATTGTTCTTAAAAATGGATGTACCAGTTTAGAATCCTGCCAACAGCACATGAAAGTGATAATTTATACAAAACTTCATCAACACAATGTTTTTTCAGCCTTTAACTGCATCAGTGATGTGGGCAAAAATTATATCTCCTAGTATTAGCTTTTATTTTGCAGATATTACCTGGTTGAATTCTTACAGCAAATAATGTATCATAATGAAGCAAATAATGTATCATCAACAGCGTGCCAATGAGAAGCCAAGACTCAAAGGGATCGGACATCTACCCAAGATGACAGCTAAGACTTGCAGAGCTAGAGTTCATACTGAAGTCCTCAGTACATTTGGGTAAGATAAATTATTAGATTAAGGTAACTTGCATTTCTAAGTAGCTGTCTCACTTTTCTTTTCTTTTTCTTTTTGGATGCAGTTGACAGAAGGCAGTACCCAATTCATTTAGAAGAGACAAAGTGGAAATACTCTTTCACACAAGTGACACTTTTAACACTTTTACTTATGTATTCAAATGTGATCTTGATTCTGCATTTTCCTGGATGAGAAATAAGAACTCCCCAATACAAAAGAGGCATACTCTTAATGCAGTAATTATCATTGATCCTTATATATCTCAGAGGAAGTGTCATCCTTCTCAAAATTGTTTCATAAATTGCTTCAAAATTATGTGTGCATGTGATGTGTGTGGAGACAGCAGTTTTATTGTCTCCTACCTTCTGATTCAGTTCTTAAGTATGAACATCTGCCTTAGAGGTGAAATTGCTCCTATTAACATTTTAGAAAGACATTATGATATATGCACTACAGATATTCATGATACTCCCAATGGGATAATGTAGGATAAGATCATACAATCAAATACATGAATATTTTTAGCAAAATAAATGATTATTCTTTAAAAAGTGGAATAAAAAGAATATAATTGATTCATTGAAATTCAAATCAGTTTTGGCTCAGTGAGACAGCACTAATATGTATGTGTATATATATATATATATATATATATATATATATATATATATATATATATATATATTGCTTGTTCTTAGGGCTTTTAGTGGGGGAGGATTTATTTTATAAAAATGTACTGATTATGGTGTGATATATACATGATGATCAAATAAGGGTAAGAAGAATTTTCATCACCTGATTTTTTTTGGGAGGGGGTAACATTTGAACTTTTCTCCTGTGCTCATTTGTAAGATACATAATAAATTGTTGTAAGCCAAAGTTATCCTAATGTGCTTTAGAACACTAGGATTTATTGCCACTATCTAATTATATTTGTTGCCCCTCATCTACCTATGATGAAAGATAATGAATCCTACTTGGAAAAAGCCTAAGATATGTGCTGTTCAACACAATTAACTTCATACCACAGATTTAAATTTAGATTAGTTAAATATTAAATTAAATTAAAATTTACATAAATTTGAAATAAATTTATATAAGTTAAAATGAATTAAATTCATTTCCTTACTTGCACTAATAATGTTACAAGCACTAAACAGGTTTGTGTGGCTAGTAACTACTGTATGAGGCAACAGAGATATAGAACATTTCTATCATTCAGAAAGTTCTAGGGAAAGGGCTCAGACCAGTAATTTGCAAGTCACAACCCATCCAAATCCAGTCTGTCATCTGTTCACATACAGCCTTTTATCTAGTAATTTTTAAATTGAAAAATATATATCTTTTCTCATATGGAAATTATAAAAATCACTTTTCATCAATGCTTATAGCAGCATAATTTACAATAGCTAAACTGTGGAGCCAACCTAGATGCCCTTCAGTGGATGAATGGATAAAAAAATGTGGCATATATACACAATGGAATATTACTCAGCAATAGAAGAGAATAAAATCATGGCATTTGCAGGTAAATGGATGGCTTTGGAGAAGATAATGCTAAGTGAAGTTAGCCAATCCCAAAAAAACCAAATGCAGAATGTTTTCTCTAATATAAGGAGGCTGACTCATAGTGGGGTAGGGAGGGGGAGCATGGGAGGATTAGATGAATTCTAAATAGGGCAGAGGAGTGGGAGGGAAAGGGAGGGAGTAGAGGATTAGCACAGACAGTGGAATGTGATGGACATCATTATCCAAAGTACATGTATGAAAACACGAATTGGGTGTCAACATACTTTATATACAAATAGAGATATGAAAAATTATGGTATATATGTGTAATAAGAATTTTAATGCAAAAAAACAAAGTACATGTATAAAGGCATGATTTGACATGAACATACTCTATATACAAAGGTATGAAAAATTGTACTCTATATGTGTAGTAAGAATTGTAATGCATTCTGCTGTCATGTATTTAAAAAAATAAAATCAATAAAACTAAAAAATAAATAATAAATAAATAAATGAATGAATTTTGGAACATACCTTTTGCACTCATTTACATATCATCTATGAAGGTTTTTGTGTAACTATGGCAGAGACAAGAAGTGACATGAGAGACCCTATTGCCTAAAAGACTAAAATATTTACTATCTGGCCCATTAGAGGAAAAATTTGCCAGATTATCATAGTCAATTATGTTGAGTGACTCAATCCTGTGACATCAGAATTCATTTTTATAACTCATAAGGGGTCATTAGAATAAGGTATGCAGTGAGCAAACTCCCTTCACTGGAATGTACCATGCTGAAAGGAAAAGCTCTTTTCCTTGGTTTCTCGGCCCTCTTTACTCAAAAGAGGCCAGACATAACAAGATCTTCTGCTTGCATTGTTTGCTGAAAACAGAGTGAATTTTAAAAGTCAAACTCTTGTATGAAACTTGTCATCACCAGCTCAAGGCCCGTCACCTCTCAGGAAAGTCCTCCTTTCCCTCTTCTCCAGAAGATGAAAAGACTGTTTCTAACCTTACTAAAATTATAATTCTTTCTCCACCACGAAAACACATATTTAGTTCTATCAGTTGTAAATTGCATTGGTAATGTGTTCCGGCTTTAAGTGAAATAGAGTAGCTTGGAACATACTGATCAGAAAATCTAACTAAAAATAGAATCTGTATGGTAGACTCATTGGAAAGCTGCTGAGATAAAAATTGGTTCCAAGATTACACAGAAGGGGGAACCTCAGGGGTTGGCTTATAGCTGTGGTCAATTTTTAACTGTGTTAGTCCACAACTCTGAATCAGGTCGGGAAGTGTTATACCATTCTAACTACGAGGTAGAGGAGGAGAGAAATCTTTCTGGAACAAGATGAACATTATCTGAAACTGCAGCTTTTTTATATAACTGTGCATAGGCAAATATTACTAGTATTCCAAAGATACAACTAAGAGGCCACAAAAAGAAAAGAAGCAGTATAGAAAGGCAAGAAAAATAGTTTCAAAGTAGGAAATATGATCTCCCTTATTTTTTGAGGCCATCATTACTTTGACAGAAATATGACAAAGTAATTTTTATATGAAAAATTGGAGAATAATCTGTCAAAATATGAATAGAAAAGAGTGGGGAGTAATATTGGTCAAACTATATTGTTACATTGTGTGCATGCACAAATATGTAACAATAAATCCCATCAATATGTATAACAAGAGTGTACAGATAAAAAAATTGTGAGAAGAGAAAAAGTCTTTATCAAACTCTGGAAAATCAAATTCTGCTATGTGCATGTACTTACAACATGCATATTTAATGGAGAAAGGACCAACATATATGACCATGAACACATGATCAATGGATATAGAGAATCCATTTGATAAAATTATACATTAGTGTTAAACAAATGATAAACTATAAGAAAAGAAAACCTTCTCTCATCTGATTAAGAATATCTGCCAAAATGTACATAAAACATCACATGAAATAGGGTATTATGAAAACTTCAACTTCTGCTAGAGTCAAAACAAACCTTAAAGTATGCTCAACAAACCACTTCTTTTCAATACTGTGCTGGAAATCCAAGCCAGTACAATAATGTAAGAACCAGAAATTAAGGTCACTAGAAACAGAAAATAATAGATAAAACAAATACTAACAAGATAGCAGGATAATGTGCACAGAATTTCCAAATGAATCTAAACACTAATTATTATATTCTTTTTAACTAACTTTTTATTACTTAAAAAGTTAGTTAAAAATAATTCTAGATATAAAATCATCAAATAGAACTGTAACAATATGTCCATGTGCCAAGAACAACAAATGGGAAAAGGCATTATTTAAATTGTACAGTTTATATTAGCTTTTAAAATATTAATTCCTACTAAAAAACTTTCAAAAAATGTGAGTTACTTAATTAAAAACAAAACATTATTAGAACAAAATAAAGCCCAAATAAAGTAGAACATCTACAATATTCATGAAATAAAATACTGAACATGTGAAAATGTCAATTCTTTCCAAATTGGTCTGTAGACTTAATGATATGCTGAAAAATATCACAGGAGCGTGTTTTAGGAAATTAACAACCTGATTCTAAAATTTGTTTGGAAATGTAAACAGCTGAGAGTAGACAAAACAAACTTGAAGGAGCAGAAGAAATTGGGAGAGTTCTCCCTGATGGTTGTCAGGAACAGTTATGGAGCCTCATGACCTAGTCTGGTCTAGCACTGAGGACATCAATGAGCTGCATGGGTGAGTTTTGTACTTCATTTGTCTTGTGTTGTCAAGGATTAGAACCATACTGAGAATTTGGGAACTTCAATGTGGGAAAAAGAATCTTACCTTGGGAATGAAGTAGTTCCTGAATTTAATGTCACAGGTCACTGCATGGGGAAGATTGGTTGGAATGAGGTCAATGTATCTCTGGATTTCATGCAGGACAGCTTCTGTGTAGGGCATACTGCTCTTGTCCTGCATGCAGGGGCTGCGGTGTCTGCCAATCACATGGTCAATCTCTTCTTGTACTTTAGCTGAAAAGGACCAATGGAAAAGAGAAAAATAGTATATTTCTTAAAATAACTCATGGTTATGTGAAGCATTGTGTGTGTATATCCAAAAGGTATTAGAGACATGACTTATATGCAACAAGTACTTCTGCACATGTAAAAAGATATCCATGATATAACCTATAACTATCTATATTAATTTATCAATATCTATCATCAAGTACTGATATATATGAATAAATATACATGAATATATAGGAGTCATACATTCATGACTCTTCTATAATCTAGGTATTAAAATATATCTATAAACTTACATTCTAGCATATATGATATCAGTATAAGTAGAAATGATAAAATGTTTCCAAATATCAAGTTATCACATAATTATTTAAATAATTATAAACAGTGCAGATAGAAAAACAGGAATAAACATAAATTTTACAACAAATCATATATGACATTTTAAAATTAAATTATACTAATGAATCTATACTTATACATGTCTCCGTGTATGTGTGTGTGTGTGAGTGTGTGTGAGAGTGTGTGTGTGTGTGTGAGTATGTGTATGAGTGATTGAAACTTTTCAATCACTCATTCTTTAAATGTAGCCTTTTTTGAATCATTTAGAAATTTCTTCTGAAATATTCATTTTTCTAAATAATGATCTATTTTGTTCCTTGATTTATCCAATTTTAGACAATTTTTAATGAGGTCCTCATAATAAACATTAAGATCCAAATCTACTCCATGCAAAATACATATCACAAATAAATATGCACACCCACATAGCTGACATACTTTCCCTCTCTATTCCTATATATTTTTTATTACAATTTTTGATTATATCAATATATTTTGTTACAACATTATGACTACATAACCAATTTTCACCTGTAAGGTAACTGTGTACGTTTCATTCATTGCATATGTTTAACCTCTCAACATATTCCAATTCCTAATTTTCAAGTTGTTTATCTTATATTGTATCCAAAGGTTGATGTTTCAAACTCCTAGTAATAATTAACTAAATGTTTGAACTTCAGATTCTTTCTTTAATTTTCCTTATCTTCAATTATACCTGCTTTAACTACTTAATATCCACAATTGGTTGTTTCCTAGGCCTGGTGCCCAGGACCTCCCTTAAACTCCCATTGTTATACAAATGGTCTCCTAATTCCAGGAACCTGTGACTGCCTTGCCTCTGCCTTGACTTTGAATATTTGGATGGAGCTTATGCTCTAGTATCTTTCTGTGAAAGGGAAAAGAGGGGATAAATTTTGTAGCAAAGATGGATCTAAAAACATCTTTCTTTTTGTTGATGTTTTGGTTTTGTTGTTGTTTGGGGATTGTTTGTTGATGGCTTGGTTGGTTTTGGTGGGGGTTTTTGTTTTTGTGTTTGGTGTTGTTTTGTTGGTTCTGGGGATTGACCCAGAGGCCCTCTATATTTAAGCCAAACTCACAGCCCTTTGGTTTTGAGACAAGCTGGCCTAGGCTAGCCTTGAATTTGCCTCAACTTCCTGCTTCAACCTTCTAATAGGTGGGGTTATAATGGCTCTCACATTTTCTATTAACATGCAAAATAACAATTGTTCTTTAGAACTCAGATGTCTTGCTGATTCATAATTCTTTTTATACTATCTGGCTTATTCCTGAAAGTTCATGTGATTTTTAACATTACTTGGATGTTCTAAAATAAATTACAGGGCCTGTTAACTTCAGTTTCTCTAGAGAGTTAACCTCTCTTCCTATGAGAGGGAAACATTTAATTGTTCAAAGCTATTGTAAAGGGCACCTGAGCACAGAGCGGCTCCTATTCTGTGCCCCAATTTCCCCTAACTATTTTGACATTTGGTGTTTCTCAATGCTGAAACTTATGGATAATTTTCAGTACACAGATTGACTTTTCCACACTAATACAACTTCTTCTTCTGATATATATGCTACAGCTTGATACACTCTAGTAAATAATGTCCCTTCCTTCTGTTCTCTATGTTTAAGAAATTTGTTGAGGGTTTGTTGGCTGTTTTCTCTCCTCCTCTTTTCCCACTTTAAAAAGGAGTATTTCTCACTTGTGGCTACTTTATAATAGTTTTGATGGGGTCCTGAAACAAGAAAAGGTGGTGTTTGCTTTTAATCTACAATGCATTACCGGAACTCTTTAAAGGTACATTTCTAAATAGAGTTGTTCATAAAACATAAAATTAATGGAAACACATTTTGGGAATAGCGAAATTCCCCTCAGCACATCTTCTAAGTAGCAACACTTAAAAAGAAAAGGTTAGTTTTTTAACCTTTTAGAGAACTTCTCAGACTCTAGTAATATCCCTGCTACATCATTACATTTCAAAAGTTTCTATTTACGCTCCAATGAAGAGTTTTGATTTTCCCTAGCATTAAAGCATGAAATTTTCACAATAAGCAAAAATTTCCACAGAAATCTTGCAAGAACACACCTAATGTTCCAAGTGGCTTCTCCTTAGAAAGACCAACATTCAGTCTTAGGCCAACTCATGCTGGCTGTTGCATGCTGCAAATCACTTCCTAGTGGAAACAAGACATGACCAGAGCTCCACTGCCTTGCTACTGCCCATGCTGTCCTTCATTTATCTCAGTCACTGTCTCCTAAGTTACAATGTCCTCTTATTTTTAATCCCTTCATTTAATATGGACACATTATAACAGGCAGCACAGAAATTTTTTATATAAAGTGTCTTCCTCAAGACAAACAAGATAGAGGAGTGAGGTAGTGAGCACTGTCTTGTCAAATTTCTGTTGTAAAATTCACCCTGCTCACCATGTGTGGTCATACCTGTGACCTCTGGGTGCTTCATCAGGAGCAGGAGTCCATATCTCAGAGTGGAGGTTATGGTCTCTGTCCCAGCTCCAAAAAGATCTTTCACAGTGTTTATTAAGGCTTCAGTGGTAAACTCAGTCTGTGAATTGCCCTTTTCCTAGGAACAAATCATGCACTTATTTCACAATTAATTTAGTATTTAATTATAATAATTTCAAAATAAATTATATGGTTATAAAGTTAAGTCAATATAGCAACAAAAGAATACAATGTTATAAAAAGCTACTCTGTGGTATGGTAAACTATAGATTAATTGACCAAATCTCCATTTCTTACCCTCTTAAACCTTTTTACCTAAAGATTCTGTTCACCATCCTTTTTTGTAACTAGGAAGGATATGCAACATATTTTTTACCAATAAAATACAAGAAAAAGTCTGTTGCTGCCACTTTTGATTCCTTCTTTCTACTCAAAATATAGACACATCGTGTAGGTAAGAGAAAAATTACTTTGAGATTGTAAGATTTAATCATGAAGATAATATCTAGTGTAAATATGATGTTTTTGTCCATTTTCTCTTGCTATACCAGACTACCAGAACCTGAGTGAATTGTAAAGAATAGAGGTTTATTTTTTTCCCAGCACCTCTCAACCCTGTTACAATGGGGAACAACTTTCAGCATAAGTTTTGGAGGGAACAAACAACATGCAATCCATAATATGTGGTGAAGGAAATGGAAGGCACCAGAGTCTCAGATAATAGCATGGTATTGGCAAAAACACAGACATGAAGAACAATGATACTGAATAAAAGACACAGTGACAAATCCACATAGACACAGCCACCTGGTGGCTACTTGACACAGTTGCAAAAAACATGTTGAAGAAAAGAAATTATTTTTAACAAGCAATGCTGAGAAAACTGGATATCCATATGTAGAAGAATGAAACTTGATTAGTATCACTCACCCTCCATGAAAGTAAACTCAAAGTAGACCAATGATATAGGAATTAGACCAGAAACTCTGGAATGGCCAGAAGAAACCTAAGGTGAGAATTCTAACTTCCTGAATAAGATGTCTAAAGCTCAAGGAAAAAATAAACCAAGAATCAATAAGTGGAATAGCATTAAATTAAAAAGCTGCTTCACAGCAAAGAAAACAGTAGCATGAATTGCCTACAGAAGTGGAGAAAATCTTTTTTTTTTTTTTTGGTACTCTTCTGAGAGGGATTAATATCTAGAATATATAAATAATTTTTAAAAAACCTTAACATCAAACAGATGACCCAATCAGTAAATGGGCAAATAAACTAAACAGACATTTCTCAGAAGAAGGAATGTAAATGGCCAACAAATATACAAAAAAGAAAAATTTCAACCTCCCTGCGATCAGGAAACTGCCAACCAAAGTTACACTGAAATTTTATCACACTCCACTTAGAATGTTAACCATCAAGAATACAAATAACAATAAGGATCTCAAGGGAAAGGAGCATACATTTTCAGTCAGACTGAAAATTGGTACAACCACTTTGGAAAGCATTGTGGAGATCTGCACAAAGCAGAAATGAAACCATCATATTCCCCAGCTCTTCTACCCTTTGATATTTACCCCAAAGAACTAAAATAAGTATACTGTAGTGATGCATGCATGCATACTGGTGTTGATAGCAGTGCAATTCACAATTACAGGTTAGAGAAACATCCTAGATGTCCCTCAGCAGACAAATGTATAGAGAAAATGTGATAAATATATACAGTATTCATCCTGCCATAAAGAAGAATGAAATTGTGTCACTTGCTGGACAATGGATGAAAATGGAGAACATCATGTTAAAAAATAGCCAGACTCAGAGAGTCAAAAGTTCAATGTTTTTGCTAATATGTAGA